ACAGTCCAATGATCATTTTACTGATATGTATAAAGACTGCAAAGGCTGAAAAATCTTGAAGTCTTTATGAAATTGGAAGCAGTTTGAGGATAAAATTTTTTATGCTTTTTAAGCTCGAAAAAGGAGGGAGGTCGTATTATACATCAGATCGTATTATACACGAATAAATACGGTAAGTCTAGCTCATGTAGATAAATCAAGCAAAACTATCAAGAATCTGTTTTGTGATCATCAGGATAATTCTCATCTTCATGCCAGTTCCAGGGTTCTTTAATCCAGAACAGAGTGAGCGGCTGCTCATTCACTCCCTTCATATCGAAGCAGGGGTTAAACATGGGGAACAGAGGCTGGGAGCACTGCACACAGAACGAGTGGAGCAARGCCATGGAGTCAGCGTCGTAGAACGACAGCTCCCCCCTCTGGATGTTCGCCAGCACGCCCAGCTTCCTGACCCTCTTTTCCACCGACAGCTGCTTCTCCTGGGTATCATGACACGCCAGGTACTGTCCATCTCCATGATAGATGCACCAAGATGTGCTGTTCACATGCAGGCTGGAGGAGGAGCTCTCGGGTTGCTTTGTGTRGTTTAAACCGGTGGTCACGCCTATCATCCAGAAGGGTTTGTCCTGAACTATGACCTCCCAGTAATGCTGGCCACAGGTGAAGCTGTCCTGAGCCAGGACACTGAACTGGGATTCATACGGTCGGCGACTCGGTGCTTCCCCAACAGGTTGGCGTCTCCAGCAAACTTGTTTTCTGTCACCAGATATTTCCAGTTTGGGATGGGCTGTTCTGGGATCCAAAGCAGGCGAACTTAGATCTATAAAGAAAGCGTTGAAGACACAGTTATTCAGAGAGAAATCGTTCATATTTTTATTGCAAAACACTACATCCTCCACTAACATGACCAGATACGGGGGAAGTGTTGGGACAGAGCGAGCGACAGGTCATCCACCAGCCTCTCAATGGTTCTCAGCTTTTCTGGGTCACACAGATCCCTATTTACTGTCTGTATTGGTGAAAAATCCAAAGGATCACTACAAAAGCAAACAAATAAAACAGGTCAGATGTTTAAATCATGCAAAATGAAATACTAATGTCTCAAACGTGCAAAAATTAACTCACCAAAGYTTCTGCGCTGTTATTTGCTATTACAAATGAACATTTTGTGTTAGTGTGTATTAGACAAAGGTTTATAGTAACTAAGTACATTTACTTCTTCACAGTGCTTAAGTAATTTTTTTAAAGATTTGTAATTTTACCAAGTACATTTTTTTATTTTTACTTTTATTTTGTTACATCTAAAACCTAAAACTGATACTTTAACTTTACTTTAAAAGTTACATCTCGTTACAAAATTAAATCTGTCCAAACTCATGGGAGTTGTTTATTCTCTAAAAAAGTGTTGAATTTACTCAACCAAGTCATGTCAACTGGTTCCAATAAACCTAGCAGAGTAAAAATGAGGCAATACACATATTTTCTCCACTCAGTTTAGTGGAACCAGTTTGGTTAACCCCTTATRAGTCGCACCAGAAATTCCTTAAAAGCCTTTTGACATTTTTTTAACGATGCCAAACTAAAGGTAAGAACTGGAGAAAGTTGTCTGACACTATAGTCTTCAAAATAAAAGTCCCCGGTACTGTCTGGAAACGTTTAAAGGCAGAAACCACTCCATTTTTGCCCACCAGTAAGACTGTTAAGGGGTTAAGTAAATTCTACAGTTAATTTCTTAAGAGAATGTGTAAAAGTACTTTTACTTTCCCAATTTTTGTGAACAGTTTTATGACTTTTACTTAAGTACTTTTCTCATCTGTGAGTCATCATTTTCTGTTGAGGTATTTTTACTTTTAACTATAGTTTTTTTTCCCAAGCACTCTATGGTATTACGATGCAAAAATCCTTTAAATGTTAAAGTTGTTCATAATATTTAAAAAGAACCCCAATTCAGGAGCTAGAATAAGACTAGAGGTGTGGCAACAAAGAAGTGAGTAAAACAATGTAAGATGATTAGATATGGCTGTGTATAGGCAAGAAATATCACGATAAATCACGATATATCGTAATACTTTAAACTAGGCAATATATCGACATTTTTCTCTAAAAGATTCTCACAAAAAATTGTGCTCATTATGTGKAAAAAATCAAGGTAAAACACAAATATTAAAGTTTATGTTTTAAGCCTTTACTAAAAATCGATACAGTGCTTCGGAGAATTGATCCAGAAACAGGAAATAAAATATCTCAACACCCCTATTAGATACACATTAATTATTATAGTGCATATAAACTAAATAAAAAAATCTGATTTGATTTTGAAGTTACCTGTAGAAATTGCAGATCATTTGTTTCCTGGAAAAGTGCTTTGTTGGTGGCTCTGAGTCGGTCRATCTCTTTGATCTGAGTCTCCATGCGGTCCCTCTGAGCTTCCAGCCAGTCCGTCACGTATGTTTCCTCTGCGTCTATAATCTGCATCATCAGACGCTCGTCGGCGTCCAGCACCACATGGATTCTGCTGTACTTGTCTGAGATTCTCTCTCTGAAATCTGCAGCAGATGTCTAAAAAAAAAATGAAAAGCTGTAAAGCAAGGTTTTGGCCTTGATTGTTAAGAAAAAAATTAGATTCGGGGGGATCGTACCAGAGTTTGTGAATACAGTGACTCCAGGTCTTTGATGGCGTGCTCTGCTTCACCTCTTCTCTTCAGCAGTTGGTTCATATTAGTCTCCAACATGCTCTGAAGACAGAAATAAAATCCTGTAGGAATTTAACAATGTAGTAAAGAAAATTTTAAACAGCCTGTAAAAAGTTTGAAAGGTGACAGTGAAGCTGTTCTGTAAAAGTTCTGGAAAAAATGATATTAATCTAAGATAAGATACAAAATGTCAGCATTGGTTGGGCGCCACTACCTTGTCCTTGACCAATTTATTGTCAAATCAAAAGTTGTAACTGCTCACTTTATTCTTTTACTATTTTGATAAAGAGATAAA